TTGATTATTTGATCTGTTTTAATTACTGTAAAGTACTTTGGTCAGCTCTGGTTGTTGTAAAGTGCTATATAAATAAACATTAATTGATTGATTGATTAATTGATTTTCAGAGGCTCAGAGCTGCCAAAGGATGCAAACGGCTCCGTGATATCTCAGAGATTGAATTTTGTGGAAGTTTCAGAGACTGGCGACAATATTTAGAATGATTCCTTTTAATAAATTACGTAATTTGACTGTTCTGAAACACACCCCAGCATTTCTTGGCTTAGTTCCATCCTTAAGAGTGGAGATGATATGTAACCTGTTCTCAAACACAGGTATGAACATTTAGCCTTTGGCTCTGAGGAGCAGATAATTGGAGAGTCTGGTTCTTACCTCCGGGTCGTCCAGTTTGTTCAGAGCGACGGCCTCCCCGTTCTGCCTGTTTCCCGGGTCCATTTTCCTCTCTGGGATTAGTTAATGTCCAGTTATTGACAGTTTCTGTGAACGGCCCTGCTTCCACCGAGAGAAACTACTTTCACTAACCAGAGTGGAAAAACAAGAAAGGCGACAGGACAGATGAGTCTGGAGGCTCCTCCTGTTTCAGGGGTTTCATTCCTCCCTCTTTCCTTTTTTCTTTTCATTGCCTAATTCTTCCTCCACCTTTTTTGTTGTTCCTAAAGGAGGAAGTCTGGGTTCTTCCAGCTTTGCTGAATCTTTTTAATTGTTCTTATGATGATCTGATGGTCATAAAAGTTCCACTCTGTTCATTTTAGTTTAAAGACATTAACCCTTTAAAGCCTGATCCAAGAAAAATAGGAAGAATATTGGATTGTTTTTAGTCTGAAGTCTTTCTATGGCCCTTCAACAACATATGAAGAAAAAAAAACAGAAATTATTTTGATCAAATTAGCGTGCAGTAAGTCTAATATTTTAGTGTGGTCTTCTACTGGCTGTTATCAGGTATATCTGAATGTGTACAACAGGGGTTTGAGCAAAGCTTTTACCACTGAATGATGCAGAGAGTCTCAGATCCAAAAGACTTCAGAAACCAGATAAAATATGACACATTTGGCCGGAAACTGGAGGTCGCTTTCAAAATAAAACGCTCGTACCTGTATTTCTTTCTTCAAAACAATCCGTTAAGCCCGTTTTGTCATTTTGCTTTTGGTGTAATGTCTGTTTTGGGTCGATATGCTGTAAGTCGCTTCATCCAAAGGATAAGTTCACGTTTTATACGGTGACCAGAAGTGGGATTTGCTTACTTTGGAAACTTGACGTAGCTCGTGCGGCTCAAGAGAGTACATATTCTAATAAATAAGAGTACGCAAAATATATGTCTATGGCCCCACCGATAGACATATATACGTATATATATGTATATGTGTGTATGATGGTAATGCTCAACGGTCCAGTTTGCTAACGTAACGTCAGTTATACAAATTCTGGCCGGAAGCTGGAGGTTGCTTTCAAAGTAAAACGTTTGCACCTGTATTTCTTTCTTAGAAACAATCCGTTAAGCCTGTTCTGTCATTTTTCTTCGGGTGTAATGGGTCGATATGGGTCGAGATGGTGTAGGCCGCTTTATCCAAACGATAAATTCACGTTTTATACGGTGACCAGAAGTGGGATTTGTTTACTTTGGAAACTTGACGTCGCTCGTGCGGCTCACGCTCCGAGAGTACATATTCTAATAAATAAGAGTACACGAAATATATGTCTATGGTCCCACCGATAGACATTTATACGTATATATGTGTATGATGGTAATGCTCAACGGTCCAGTTCACTAATGTAACGTCAGTTATACAAATTATGGCTGGAAGCAGGAGGTTGCTTTCAAAATAAAACGCTCGCACCTGTATTTCTGTCTTCAAAACAATCCGTTAAGAGCGTTCTGTCGTTTTGCTTCGGCTGTAATGGGTAGATATGGGTCGATATGGGTCAAGATGGTTTAAACCAATTTATCCAAACGATAAGTTCACGTTTTATTCGGTGACCGGAAGTTGGATTTGTTTACTTTGGAAACCTGACGTCACGCTCTGAGCCGCGTCTTCCTCCTCGCTCGCCGGCGTACATCTGTCGCCCCCCCATTGTGTTTTTTCGGAACCGGTCTCTCTCTGGAGGCATGTCGAGATCGAGTTCCCCCCCTCCCGCGGCGGAGGCCGGGACCGGGACCGGGACCGAGGAGTGTTTCCCCCCGGGATACAAGCCCTTCGAGCCCGAGGAGCACGGCCTGGAGCGCGGGTTCCGGCTCACCGCCTTCTCGGAGCTGAAGGGATGAGGATGCAAAGTCCCGCAGGAGGCTCTGCTCAAACTCCTGGCGGGACTGGAGCCGGACCGGGGCGAGGGGACGGCCAAGGCCGGGGACCAGGCGCCGGATTTCGGCCAGCAGTTGCCCGGTCCGCGGCTCGGTAAGGAACCCGGCCGCTAACCCCGGTTTTTGCTAACCAACGGCTGGTTTTTGCTAACCAACGGCTGGTTTTTGCTAACCAACGGCTGCTAACCGTTAATTGCTAATCCAGCTAGCTCGAGTTAACACACGGCTCTTTGACAGCTGGCCAATAAACAGCCAAACACAAAGGGTTGTTTGGTTCATTTGGACTGTTTTGGAAGTTTGTTTGTGTCCGTGAAACCATTTGATGATGAACCAAAGTTGAGGAAAAAGTTTAAACTTGGTGTCACAGTTTAGGTGTTTAACAGAGGGCACGTGCCCAGTGAGCTGTCAAACCCCCGTGAGGGCAGGTATGATTCAGCAAAAATGTTTCTGCTGCCCAGGGGCTGAAGTCCACCTCAACCAGGTTAAATCTCTAACTTCTTATGTGCTTTTCTGCCCGTTTACGACCACGTGTTGCTATTTAAAGTGACCACGAGGCTGGAAAGTGCTGCATTTTTCTATAATAAAAAAAAAGCCCATGCATAAATGAATTGTTGTGTTTTGCAGTAAAGTGCACAGAGATAATTGTGTGTGGTGTGTTTTAGGGGTCGGTATGGATAGTTGTGTGGTTCCCCTGAGGCATGGAGGGCTCTCACTGGTGCAGACCACCGACTTCTTCTATCCTCTGGTGGAGGATCCCTACATGATGGTGAGTTTAGCCTGAGTTTAGTCTGAGTTTAGCCTTTTTGTTGGGAAACCAGCCAGGATTGTCCACACAAACACCTGTTTGCAGGGCTGATGCTGCAAAAGGATTCAGGACAGATTTAAAGAGTGGAAGACATGCTCGATTATTATACATTTATTTATATATATATATATATATATATGATTATTAAGTCTGATCTTCCCAAGAGTCAGCATCATTTGTAAGTTAAACGTTTTGCAGAGTCAGCTTTAGTGTAAAAACTCTGACTCTCCCCTTTATGAAAGGTTTCTCCTCATCCATCTGAGATGGGATGTTGCCCATGAGGGTACATATTCTAATGAATAAGAATCACCTCAGAACAAGAAAAAAACTAACTAAAAATAGAGAATCAGAAAAGCTAAAAATGGTAATAACGGGTGGTTTCTGGTTGGTGGGGCCTTCCTTTCTGCATTAAATGTGAACTTTTTGAGGTTTTTGACACGTGGGGTGTACATGATGGTGAGTTTAGCTTCACTTTTCCTCCTGAGCAGTGTTCCCATCCCTCCTTTTCCAGCCTTTTTTATTGGGAAACCATCCAGGATTGTCCACACAAACACCTGTTTGCAGGATTGATGCTGCAAAAGGATTCAGGACAGATTTAAAGAGTGGAAGACATGCTCGATTATTATACATTTATTTATATATATATATGATTATCAAGTCTGATCTTCCCAAGAGTCGGAATCATTTGTAAGTTAAAAGTTTTGCAGAGTCAGCTTTAGTGTAAAAACTCTGACTCTCACCTTTATGAAAGGTTTTTCCTCATCCATCTGAGATGGGATGTTGCCCATGAGAGTACATATTCTAATAAATAAGAATAACCTCAGGTTCCCAAATGTGGGAACAAGAAAAAAACTAACTAAAACTAGACAATCAGAAAAGCTGAAAATGGTAATAACGGGTGGTTTCTGGTTTGTGGGGCCGTCCTTTATGCATTAGATGTGAACTTTTTTAGGCTTTTGACCCGTGGGGTGTACATGATAGTGAGTTTAGCTTCACTTTTCCCTCTTAGCTTCATTCCCATCCCTCCTTTTGCAGCCTTTTTGTTGGGAAACCATCCAGGAAGGTCCAAATAAACTCCTGTTTGCAGGATTGATGGTGTAAAAGGATTCAGGAGAGATTTAAAGAGTGGAAAACATGCTCGATTTGAAGGGCAAATTATTATACATTTATTTATATATATATGATTATTAAGTCTGTTCTTCCCAAGAGTCGGCATCATTTGTAAATGAATAGTTTTGCAGAATCAGCTTTAGTGTAAAAACTCTGACTCTCACCTTTATGAAAGGTTTTCCCTCATCTTTCTGAGATGGGATGTTAACCATGAGATTACATATTCTAATAAATAAGAATCACCTCAGAACAAGAAAAAAACTAACTAAAAATAGAGAATCAGAAAAGCTAAAAATGGTAATAACGGGTTGTTTCTGGTTGGTGGGGCCGTCCTTTATGCATTCAATGTTAACTTTTTGAGGCTTTTGACACGTGGGCTGTACATGATAGTGAGTTTAGCTTCACTTTTCCCTCTGAGCAGCGTTCCCATCCCTCCTTTTGCAGCCTTTTTGTTGTAAAACAGATATATATATATATAATAAGGATAACCTCAGATTCCCAGATGTGGGAACAAGAAAAAAACTAACTAAAAACAGAGAATCAGAAAAGCTAATGATGGTAATAACGGGTGGTTTTTGGTTGGTGCGTCCATCCTTTCTGCATTAAATGTGAACTTTTGGAGGCTTTTGACACGTGGGGCCTTTTGTTTTCTGTGTCCCGCCTCTCAGGGCCGGATAGCGTGCGCCAACGTGCTGAGCGACCTCTACGCCATGGGCATCACCGAGTGCGACAACATGCTGATGCTGCTGAGCGTCAGCCAGAAGATGAACGACAAGGTAGCAGCCACACAGTCTCTGCTCCATGATTTTAGCATCAGAAAACACCTGAAAACTGTCTTTCCTGCCCCGTGTGACGTCTGCCTCACAGATAAAAGGCAAAAAAACATCAGATATGTTTCAGATTCAGGCTCAGAGATGAAAGCAGGTTAAAAAAAAACATGTAAAACCACCAGATCTGGGTCAGAAATGGTGGAAAAAAAGTTAGATTCGAGACACTTTTTCTTTTTTTTCTGGACTACAATACCTGAGAGCAAGTCCCATGGCCAGGTTTTTACCTCAGACACCAGTTTGGATTGAATAGCTTTAAAGAATTTACTCGGTTTGTGTGTCCCTCACCTGTTTGTGAATACAACAAACCGACATCTACATTCTCTGTTCTTTATTGCTAACAGCAGCTAAAAGGGATATCGTACATTGATATTAATAATAAACTGGTCCCGATCCGATATCTGGATCGGATCGGCCGGCAGGAGAAAATCCAGACCCAGACTCCAGAGCATTAGCATTAGCATCTGTAACCCACAGGTCTGTGTCCTAACCATGAAGTTGTTATCAGAGTAAATCCCTGTTCAACATGAGTCTGACGGCTAAGTAAATGAATAACTTTAAACTGTAAGAGATTAATAGATTTAATAGATGCTCTGATATCGGTATGGGATGGGATCCCACATTAGCATTAACATTAGCATTAGCATCTGTAACCCACAGGTCTGTGTCCTAACCATTAAGTTGTTATCAGAGTAAATCCCTGTTCAACATGAGCCTGACAACTAAGTAAATTAAATAACTTTAAACTTTAACACATGCTCTGATAGGCCGGGATCGGGACATCCCTAATTAATACTTTTGTTTATTTATTTGTTTAAAGTAAACAACAGATTCTGTCATAAACGTATTTGTTCCCTTTGAGAGCAACATCAGGAGCATCGGCTAATATCTGAATAGCTCATTAGATCAAATTTTTCCTCTTTTTTGGTTCTTTTCGTGGTTTAAAACACCTGATTGTTGTGTTTTGTCCTGAAATGCGGCTCATGAACAGACGTTGATATCAAATAATAACGTTTTTGGCTCTGAAACGGGTCTTTTTTACCCTTTTTGTGGCCTTTTTGCAGGACCGGGAGCGGGTCATGCCGCTGATGATCCGCGGCTTCCGGGACGCGGCGGAGGAGGGTGGCACCTCGGTGACGGGCGGCCAGACGGTGGTCAACCCCTGGATCATCATCGGGGGGGTGGCCTCCGTCGTCTGCCAGCCCAACGAGTTCATCATGTGAGTGGCTCCGCCCCCCCCCCGGGCCTCGTTTGCATTCGGCTTCCTCTCATTTGCATCAGTTAGAAACAAAGCCGCTTCAGTTAGTCGCAGCTTTGAATCTACAGTTGGTTGTTTTTGTCTTTGTAAAGCATTTTGAGACTTTCCCTTTCAGGGAAAATGGTTGTCTCCATTTTAGCTGCTTCAGAATTGAATTAATCAAGATTTTATTTATTTATAATATATATTTATTTATTTACATATTTTATTTATTTTTTATTTTATTCATTTTATTTTTATTTACATATTTTATTTATTTTTCGTGTTATTTGTTTTATTTTTATTTATATATTTTATTTATTTATCATTTTATTTATTATATTTTTATTTACATATTTGATTTATTTTTCATTTGATTTATTTTATTTTAATTTATATATTTTATTTATTTTTCATTTGATATTATTTCCTCCTCAAAAAGAATCTAGTTTTTTGGTGGATATTTTAGCCTCTGTATAATTCCCTCTTAGCACGAGCAGACTCAGTTGGGTTTTCTTTAACTGTTTTTTTTTTAAGTCGTTTGGGATCTCCAAATCCACAGTTAAAACTAAATAAAGTTAGCAAACACAAACATTGATGAGACAAACAATAAACTGCAGAGCAGGAAACAATACTACAAAGCAAACAAATAAATAAATAAAATACCTCGTTGGCTGCATGATGCAAAAAAAAAAAAGGTAATTATCCATTAACGCATTTAGCCTTAACTTCTGCAAAAATCCTTAACAAGGGCTCCGTTGCTCAAACAATACTCCTCTTGACTTCAAAATAAAAGTGCTCTAAACTTCAAAACAAAAGCAAATCCACTCATTACTAAATAATACAATATAAAACAAATACAACTTGCATAGATTCCATCAGACAAGAACCCTTGAAAAGAATAACAAATTATAGACTAATAATGTTTGAACATTATGTGTAAGACAGTATAAATGCAACGATTACAATGTGATCAACAGGTCAAGTTTGACGAAAAAAATGTAAATAATTGCTTCTGCTTCTCCCGTGAGAGCTCAAACAAGACTCCTCTTGATTTCAAAATAAAAGTGCTCTAAACTTCAAAACAAAGGCAAATAAAACAAATACAGCTTGCATAGATTCCAATCAGACAATAAACCTTGAAAAGAATAACAAATTATAGACTTATAATGTTTAAACATTATGTACAAGACAGTATAAATGCAACACTCGGTTTCAGACATTCTGGGCTCGATCCTTTGGCTGTAAACACATTCAAACCTGTTTCTCGCTGCCTGTAAACAAATTCAAACCTGTTTCTTGCTGCCTTTTCTCCGTGTTCTGTGTCTCTCTCCGTCTTTAGGCCCGACGGCGCCGTGCCGGGTGACGTTCTGGTTCTGACCAAACCTCTGGGGACCCAAGTGGCTGTGAACGCTCACCAGTGGCTGGATCAGGTCAGAAATCCACCTCCTCTCACTGGATTCTTAAAGGAGTCATATTATACCCTATTTCAACAAGTTAAGCTAGTTCCCTGGTGTCCTAATGTAATGTCTGTGACAAGCTTTGGTCAAAATCCCCAAGGATGAAGCCCAATAGCAGTTCAGTCCCCCTGCCTAACCCTAACCCTAACCCTAACCCAAAACAGCCCCGTTCAGAGCGCTCGCTTTGGAGTGCCTGTCTCTTTAAATGCAAATGAGACATAGGCAATCCGCCCACTTCTTCAGGGAGGTGTGCCCACGTCTTCACGCTAACGCTACCATGCTAACGCTACCATGCTAACGCTACCATGCTAACGCTACCATGCTAACGCTCACGCTACCAGGACGTCTCCACAGATAGGGGAGTGAGCTGAGGGGGGGGGGCAA